AACAACAACAACGACGAAGACAGCAACAACAGCAAGAACAACAACAACAATAACAACAACAACAAAAACTTATACCAACCTCGCATCAACTCAACAAGATCTGTTCATAAAAACATTGAAAATAATAAATACATAGAACAGCACTGAATCGATAACAGATCTAAGCAGTCTCTACTTAAAACTTCAGATGATTTGGTCAACATCGAGAACATGAAACTTGCCATTTCTGTCTGAATATCAGCTTTGTCGCGAACTACCAGCAACGAATACTCGTATGGAGATACAAAAAAAAAGAATGAGAGAGAGGGAGAAATTGGATGCCCCGCTTCTCAACCTGGCCAAAATAATTTTGGTCAAAGTGGAACTTTACATATACATCGACATCATACCAACATAAAGTGCAATGAGAGGAAACGTTAATGACCATTAGTTAATATGCCTCGATCAGTAACAGACCCATTCCCGTACATGCGAAATATAGTTGACATACCTCGTTAGCGAAAGAAACCGAGCCGTTTCGATGGTTGTGAACGTGGGCAACACGTCCTGAGCCCTTGTCCAGTCCATAGCGAGAGGAGGCGGTGTGTGAATGGTGGGAGCAATCTTGCCGAATCACCTGGAGACAGTTTCAGGTTAAACACAGGAGCTAAACCTCTCACACCTACTTCCTATCACGACAAAGGGCCGTCGAGTAACGAATGGCTCGCGAAAGCAAACGCTAGACTCACAATTTCTCCGTCCAGATCACAGTAAAGCCGAAATACAAAGCGATGGCGAAACGCACGTCCATCCCGTACGAACCGACCTTTAAATTCATTGGAGCACGTTTTTCTCGCTTTGGCCGATAACAGGCGGAATGAAACTATGCATGTGCTTCAATAGTCAGGACAAATAATTTTCCAACGCTTTCACTAGGAAGTTTCGTTGAATTTGGTTTTTAACATCGTATCTTAGTCCATGGAGAAGGTCTACCTTAGAGCTAACGATGTTGATTGTGCGAGATTCTTAAGATTTGCGTTAGATAAGGCGTCAAGGAAGGGTTCTATTGTCAATATTCTCAAGTGTCACAATAACCCAACTGGGTACATACCCTTCTGGCCACTGTATTTTTTTTTTGGACAAAGTATCCAAACATATTTTCGCAATCGAAGGTGTCTGTTTTCCCAATATAACTATTTTCAAGCTCTTTAATTAATTTGACGAAACGCATGGGCTCTAATTCCATTCAGCTCCGAGGCAATGAGGCTTGTCTCTCTCGAAGGTCAGTGGATTAGAGCCAGACCCATTTGGCGAAAAGTCTCTCCTACTCAGAAACACTGGATACTGCCTATGGTGAGTACTCGGAATTGCTGTAGCATCGCTATCTCAGAATCACTGATGAAATCAACTCCACCACCACTCACTGACACTCTTGGAGATGACAAGGTCCTTATGTGTAAACCGAATCTACACGCAATACACGAGAACATTTGTGTATGACGATTATGAGACAACGAACCGAACGGAGGAAATGCTGAAATCCGTGCAATATGTGGAGTCACTCCATACAAATAAATAAAAAAGTATCGACTTCTAACCTTCATTATTAAATAACTTTGTCTTAGTCCCTAGGAAACATTCTACTAAATAAGAAAATTGTATTCCAAAAACTTCCCAACGGTTCCCTCCCTAATCGTGGCTGGACGGTGTGCCTGGATGTCTGACTGCGATATACAGCGGGGGATTCATTCCCCCACCAGGTTTTCTCAAGCTGAGGAGTCCGGCGTTCCCATTAGGAAGCCCAGCCAAGAGTAAACCAATATCAGCATCCACCACCGTCCTGGTATCAAACTAGTTGCATGGTGGCAAATCTCCGTCTGATCACACAAGGGCGGCGGCTGCCTGCGGTAGTGACGCCCTGGGGAAGACTTTAGCCAGGCTGACCCTAGCACTCCAGGGAAATACAATGGCCAAACTAGCGAAACTCCAAAAAGTGGAAATTATGCTGGAGTTCGCACAACCAGTGAAGATGGGCCATCTAACTATCCAAGTAGGTGAGTAAGTATTCCACGAAACCTATATTGTTTTTGATGTTATTGATCGATGGCTGACGTTTCGGCGGCTTCGCCTTCCTCAGAGCCGTGATGCCTGACTCTGAGGAAGGCGAAGCCGCCGAAACGTCAGTCATCGATCAATAACATCAAAAACAACGACAACGACAACGACAACGAAGACCTGTACCAACCTCGCGTCGGCTTAAGAAGATCAGTTTATAAGATCACATAGATAAATATATCAACTATCTATGCCGAGGTTTATAGAAAGTCGGTCTTTCGAATTATGTCAGAATTATCGTGTTCATATTCTAAGCTTGTGCAACCTTTGAGTATCGTGCAGAATCCACTTCTGGAAGCATCTCACTCTGAGATCCAGACAGATATCGCTTTTGTTGCGCTGGAAAAGCGAACAACTGGCTTCATGACGATGATATCCTCTTTTCAATTCGCGCACTTACCACACCAATCGAGTTCTCTGAGTTTACAGTTTGGTTGAGCTGTTTCAAAACTCCTTGACCACTTATGCGTATTGCGTCAGATGATGATTGTTAAGCCGGCTAAGATCGATGCAGTATTGGAGAACATGTTCTCTTTTCTGATTCGATGTCCTCGGGGCTAAAGCGATGGCAAGTTAGATGTTTGAAAGGCTGCTGGATAACCGTAATTTTGCTGACAATGGAACAAATAATTATTGAGACAAGTTTTCAAGACCAGTTCATTAATTGGCCTTGTCGGCCGGAATTTGCAAGGGGATGCATAATGTGAACTTTAAATACTGCAGCATTACAACGAGTATTATATGTAAGCTGTGAGTAAGAAGTTTGCACTGAAGAGGTCGCAAGTTGTGACAATTGTGAATAAAAAGGATAAATCGTGCATTCGACTTCATCGAGCATCGTTGGAGGTGATTGAGTGCATATCCGGCCTTTAAAATAAAACTCGCGGTTGCCTAACAATGTGTTGAGACAGTGCTGCTATCCTCGCAGACAAGTCTGGTACCAATTTGCCTACCCCCGTAGGGATGGAAGGCTTGGTGGGTCTGGAACGCCGCGATCGGCCCCAAATGTACCGCAAGGCGCCTCCGACCACTGCGCCGGACGTACCTCTGATTCTGAATGGTGTAAAAAATGTTAACTATGAGAATCATAAACTGTAGTACTAGTGTATTTGAGTACGACGTTAACAGTCTTCTGTGAATGATTGTGAGAATAAGATGTGAGGAAGTACAATTATGCCAACATCACACATTTTTAATGAGTACAGAGTTCAGGCACAGTACTTCTACGTGCTATCAATAGTTTCATTCAAATTTTCCCAGTGGTTTATCATGTTACCGCGATGACATAGTGTTCTTAAATTCCGTACTTCAGTGCGCAAGTACAGCGAGCATTTTACTATCAGCTGCATGATTAAGATCAAGGAGATCGACTTCTCTGAGAAGCAACCGCAATAAAGCTAACATATTTGCTAATCTTGGAACCCTGGCCCAGGTTCGAACCTGCAATTACCCTTTCCGAGTGCTCACGTGTTACCCAGTGCACCACAGAGGCACTTCGCTTTTCTCTAAGCCAAGCCAAAATAATAGTACATAAAGTACAGTACAGTACAGCAGTACATAAAGTGTTAAACATTATCTGGGAAAGATTTTCTCTAAATTGTCAAGCGCATTGATGGCTTTTCATGAAGACGCATCGCAAACGTCTGTTTGACGAGAATTCAATATAAAACCTCTGTCTGGCAGCAAATGGAATAGCGGCGGAAAATGCGACTTGAATTCAATGCATATACGTGATTATATCGCATGTCACATCCACACGCACTTGGAGCTGTTCACTTAAAAAGGAAAACAAGAGGCGAATAACTTAGAAAACTTGTGGAGCTAAAAGCTGCAGTTATTTCGACAAGAAAGCAACCAGGCGTTCACTGACTTGCCGACGGCAATCACAAATGAAGTTCCTTATGATTCCGTACACACAAATGTAGGTCCTTAGATCCAATTGTCAAATTTTTCCACTGGTATCTTGAACGAAGTATGAAGCGGTTCACGTCCCTCCAGTAAGCGGAACAGATCACTTAACTCCGGCACGACACGAGAGCAAGCAGAGGCTTTTCTAGCACCTGGACTTACTCTAACGGTCGACTGGGGAAGAGATCCCACGGGTGACAGGTAATCCTAGCCATTTCGGATTGTTTGGCATAACCTAGGAGCACTTCTGTTGTGCATTCTATCGCTTTTCGCTCATATTCTAGGAACGGCTAACTTCGGTCTCAGCCACAGACGGTAATTGTTTAACATCTTAGCTGCGAATAGAAAAAGCACCGATCTGTGCTAATGTAAGGACTTACAAGATACACCTGTGCTGTAAAACGGATAACGGCTGTAGTAAATTCCTGCTATCGCGCAGTGTTCCGGAATCGATAACCGGATAGTTTCAGTGATGGACGAGTTCTCCGTTCCGTTGGCGCGAAGCTTTCAATTTTTCTGGCTGCTTTCGTTTGTTTTTCTTGCCAACATTATTCATTTTTGTTCTTGCTTGCATTCATTTTACTTGAACTAGGTGATTTAGTTATGGAGAAGAAGGACATCACGGCTGTGTGCTTGGTCGACGTTGATGATCCAAAGCTGCAGGATTTGCTAAGGGCAAGTTGCTTTGTGTTTATGGTTATCGCTTTTGCTTTCTCTTGGAAGTCCTATCAATGAAATACGTCTTCTTCCTTTACTATTTTAACAATTATTATTTACTTTAGTAGGAATATTAGGTTGAAATTTTTAAGCAGTCTTGCCGACACACGGTAATCTTTGTTGACGTCATGATTTATAGGATTATTATGGATGCGAAATTGTCGACAATGGTCCTGACTGTGAAACTACTCATGGCGAAGAATTGGTCTATCTATTTTCTGATTTTGAATCGGTTGTGTTTAGAGAGTTCGTTAGAAAATCACCTGCTAAGCCAGTAATCAGCTCAACATTGGTCTGGAGCAGACATCATCAACGGCTGGTGCGCCTTCTTTCCAAAGATACATTTGTCTGCTGTGAATTCTAATAGGATTTGTTTAGCCCCTGCTTTTCCCTCGTCCAAAGAGGCCTTTGTATTGTGAGCTACTTAACAACTGCAATGTAGTAATCAGAGCTGGCAATGTGGCAGAGAAAATACCTCTGTCTTCTATCGTTCGGTACATGGGTGGACATGTGAAACGAGAGGTCTCTTCATATTCAGTGTTATTCTTTGTTTTATGATTTGCCTTCGTTTTTATGGTTAATTCGTCACTTTAGCAGCAAATTTAACAATTTCGTTTGCAGCTTCACGCAAACACCACCTTTCTAATCACAGACCAGGCAAGAGGGAAGGCTTTTAGGGTTAGTACTTTGTGCAATTCCTACCACTTTCTCTTGAAAATAGAGTTTTCGATGCGCTTTAAGGAGAAAGTTGGAGTGTGCTAGAGTATTCTTCCAAGTATCTTTAGTTATTCTATCCTGTTACACTGTATTTCAACAAATGTTAGTTGTCCTATCCTCTTGTGCAAACTCTTTTTTTTTTAGAAAAGAGTGAGTTCAGCTGTTCTATAGTTAATCGTTGAATGCAGTGTTTTACTAGTTTTGTCTAGTATCATCTATTTATATATCCATGTGTATATATCTATATTGTGGCGTGTGTGGCGCAGTGGTCGGAGGCGCCCTGCAACACACATGAAATCGATTCCCACGCCCCTGGCCCGCCAAGCCTTCCATCTCTCCATGGTCGGAAAATTGGTCCCAGAATTATCTGATGGGGTAGAAGCACTGGCTAGATACATATGTAGGCCACCGCAAATCATTGTAAGGGCCAGATATGCATTCATCTACCTCTAATGATGCTTAATGAAGTCGAATGGATGGCGCATCCTTCAGGCATTGAACAGTGCTGGGAGCTTTATCCTTCATTTTTAACCTTATCCTTTATATTAGATCGAATTCAGCAATTCGTTTCGCTCGGAAAGAGTGTATTGCTGCCGTCATGGTTGCTTGAATGTTGGGCTCATCGAGACGATTTCGATTTCGACCCGAAGAAAAGCGAACTAGTCAGTACAAGTTTCACTCCAACAGTTGTATACATTTTCATGTTATCAAACTCTGTTAATTGAAATCTAATAGATTTCAAAGCACCGAATTGGAGTGTTCGAAAGATTGAAGATTTTCGTGTATGGTTTCAATGAAGTTGAGGATGAGGACATCAAGCGCAATGTTATCCAGAATCGTTTGTTTTTTCTTCGTTTCTTTTTTTATTGTTAAACATTCTACTTTGTATTCACAAGGGATGCCTTGACTTTCGAGACTACCTGGAGAAATATAGCAGCAGTTGACACTACTGGACTTTAGGTGGATCAATCGTGACGGATTTTTCGGAGGCAACGCATTGCGTCATAAATTCATCAACATTGGATCTAAACACATTACCGTCTTTTAAAGACCAGAAACTTGTGACAAATGAGGTTGCGACTTTGTTGTTGTGATTTCCATTTCACAAATGATTTCTTTATAGTGGGTATGGATGAGCATAAGTATTCAATACTGCGCGAATGAAAAGCTCTACCATCCTGGCCCACAATATCCGCAAGATGTCGTAGGGCCGGCTGAATCCACCGACGCTGCAACTTCTCGTTCCAATGTTTCTGAAGGTTTTCTTTCCAAGCCGTTTATTTTCTATGTGGTTTTGCATTCACTTCACTGTTGAACTGGTGACATGAGCATTATTAATCTTTTGTAGTTTAACTATGACTAAGGACCTAGTAACGCTCGTGATTCGGAAAGCTTTATTATGGCGAATCAATAATCCCATGTTTTTGCTATAGCGAATTCCAGGTGGATGAGGAATCCAACAGTACTTCCCTGTGGAGTCGAAAATAGGGTTTATCGATAGGGTACTTGTAGCATTTGCAACCATAGATTTATTGGATTACGTTGCAGGAGTGTTCCTTTTTCCTGCCTAACGTTAGAGTTTCTCATCGTATTCTATGCAATCAAAAGGTTGAGTGTTTACCGTAAACAATATTCTGGAGAGGTGTTCACACAACTGACAGGGTTCTTGTTGGCAATCATTTGTACATTCACTGTTTTTCTTCGATAAACAGACACGAACTTGGTATTATAGAGTTTATTAGCATACAAAATTTAGCTGAAATGTCAGCTATTGTGTACTAATAAATCTTATAGTACCAGCTCGTGTTTGCTTATCAAAGAAAAACGGTGAATTATCGGTTAATGCCGAGATTAATAGAAAGTCGCTCTTGGGATTTGCCCATAAATCAATAACAAATGACCCACCGCCTTTTTGTAATGACACCTTTATATTAATCCAATCTTTCTTAAGTGTTACATCTTCCCCATATAGCAGCTGACGGAAACATTTGCGCTATGCGACAGTATTCAGATTCATTTGAAGATACATTGTATTTGGGTATTTTATATGCTTTCGTTCCAGGAGTTGGAGACAAGGTACAAAAAGTATATAAGGCGTACCGGATTTGTTGCGAAATCTTTGAAACAGAAGTTTCATACGTTGACGCTTTGAGCCTACTTCAAAGTGTATGTTTTGACTTTATTTTATCTTTTGCTAATGTTTTTAATCACGATTGGCAACTTTTAAGTTTCTTTGACAGCTCTAAAGAGTATTCAACACTTATGAAATAGTGCCTAACTTAGGTGATCGTTGCCTAAGACCACTCCGGTTTTATCACCGGTTGCAATATGATTCGCATATGGCTCGTACCGACCCATGTTCACAGAGATGTTTTAGAAATATGACACTTGCGGCCCTTATGTGTTAAGACAATGTCTTAATCGTAACCGACTTTTTATCTTTGTGCGTTTAAAAAAAGGATAAAACTGTAGGCGTTGATCGATTCCTTAGAGATGCGCTATGTGTTCGACTTCATTAAGCATCGGTGGTGATTCAATGCACATCTGGCTTCTATAATGATTCGCGTTGGTCTACCGATGTATCGAGCCAATGCTGCTGATCTCCCAGACATGATGTACCAATTTGCCGACCCCGGAGTGAAGGAAGGCTTGCCGAGCCACGGGCTTGGGGATCGATCCCATATGCCCATTGCAGGGCGCCTCCGACCACTGCTCCGCACGCGCCACTACTTTTTTTTTGACATCATACTAGCGGGTTGTGTAATTTGAATCAGTAGAAAGACAAATGTACTCGGCTGAGTGTTAGAAACGCTCTCATGGGGGTAGGGATAGCCGAATATGTTTACCCTCATTTATTGATAACGTTTCCTTGAGGTTGTAATTCTTAGATTATTATGAATAACACCTTCCATGCTTTGACAACGACTGGAGCTGCACTTAATTCCTGTTTGATCTAATTGACTCTTGCTTAGGGCCAAATTAAGGGACGTTTTTTTCCCTGGTATTCGATATTTCAGATTTCTGTGGACGAAAAATAAAACAGGTTTTACATTTTTAATTTTATTACTATAAAGAAAAAGTTAAATCCGTTGGGTATTTCAGTAAGATGACATACTCTTGCATTATCTTTTCGATTTCGGGCTTTATATCAGTGATCGCCTTTCTATTCTGTAATGTGTCCTAGTTTCCAACCCATAAAGAATAGAATGAGGAGGCGGATGTTTTTTGCCTAAATCAGTTCATTCTCGTAGTAATTTCTCATCTACATTCTGCTTTATTTGTGGTTTCGCACAGCGTTTTCAAGTGTATTGCTGGAAAAATTTCGATGAGGTATTATCTTCTTGTCGAACCTCATTCTTCGCTTAGAGAGTATTGTAGAATGAAAGATTTCTAGTTGCGCATTTGCTGAGGCACCTTTATTGTTGAATTTGTCAATGATAGTTTCTATGTTGGAGGAATGGAAGAGTGCTTAACGCGTTAAGTAAGCAACGTAGCTACTTCACCTGCTCGTACTATGCTTCTCCAGGTTCCATAACTCTAACAATATGTTACATATAAACTACGTAATTCTTTTTCGAACACTATTTCTGCAACCTATCGATGATTCTGGTAAGAATCTTGTAAATATTGATTTTATGATTGAGCCTCTGTGCGACTTCGAAGCGCAGCTTTTCCAGCACTACGAAGTTATTGGATAGACCGATATTGCATGGATACCTAGATGCTTGGATAACTCGCCATCGTTGCTTGTGCAGATTCCACTATAACCTTCATTTTGTCGCAATTTTGCTGATTTAACCATTGTGGTTCGCTGCAGTCCCGAGGTCAGTCAGGCCAAGGTATTCTCCAGGTCGTCACCACCACAGGCAGTCGCCGTCCTTGTGGATCAGACGGAGATTTGACACCATGCGACTAGTTTGACACCAGGACGGTGGTGGATGCCGATATTGGTTTACTCTTGGCTGGTCTTCCTGATGGGAGCGCTGGACTCCTTTTCAGCATGGGAGACCCTGCCAGAGGGATGAATCCCCACGCTGTACATCCCAGAAACACCTCCAGGCACGTTGGGGCGGTAAACCGTTAGTAGGAGACCGATGTTGTTCATAAATGTCTTCAATGATAAAACTGTCGTCCGAAAACTATGCGGTGAAAGTTAACAGATACAAATTTCATATTTGGATTTGCCTAATTCTTTATCCATTACAATAGTGCGTGCAATGTAATTTTACGAATAATATGGTTCAAACAAATCACACAATAGAAATCACTGTTGTTCTTATTGAGATTACTGTGCATACAATGAGTAGCAGGTGTTTGAAGATATTGTTGAAACTACTGAGTTTATTCTACTATTCTGTTTGCAGTTTTTAGATTTTTTTGAATCGCATTATGCCACCATCCCCACATATTTCAATCGATTTTAGGACTATTTCTCAAATGCTTTTGCTTGTTTTCCGTTTCTAAAAATTATCTAGTTCCCGCTACCTGAGCTTACACTATGTAGTGAGCTTACCTTTTTTTGAAGAGAATTGCTCTTGAATATTCTGTTGAGATGTTTCTAAACTAGAGAGAATATTCACTTTTAACTAGGTAAGAAAATAGAGAGCAAGACACATTTCATTTAAAGAAAGGGTTAAATAATTATCATTGTCTTACTGCACTATTACTTGCCTGCAAATTCTGATCTGATTATAGCGGTTATATTTTCATACCTTTGTCATGCTGTAGATATCTATTTAAGAACTTCAGTAGATAGTTGTTTCATTAGGTTGAGGAAATTTTTCTTCCATTCGATAATTAGGATATTCTTTGCTTCGCAATGAATTTGAAATGATATTTTCTTAACATACATGTGATTAAGGTCAAGGAGCATCTGGAGGTTGACCAAGGATCTCAACTGATCAACAAATCCGAGGTGTCTCTCATTTTCGGCAAAATACCGCCCATTATTGTTGTCCATCAGGGCATTATCGTTCACTTGAAGGAGCTTTTGAAGAACTGGAAAAGTGGTGCGGAAGTCGCTCAGGTAACTACTGTTTACAAATTGAAGTCACTATTTTTTTGTGAAATTGCTCATGGTCTGTTCATAAAAGTGACGCTGTCCAAAACTAAATTGTAGTGGAAAGTACTAATTCGGGAATGCAACTAATGTAGCTTTGTTAATCGGAGGGAACAGCTAACCGGAGGAGGGAACAACAAGGTCACCTTCCTTCTTTGTTGCAATCCAGAGCTACGCAACCTCTCTAGGGGCATTGAGATCATTTTTCTTGTATCAGACTGTTGATTTCTACTCGTTTTACATGTTACTTTTATAGATTTGGATCGATGCGTTCGATGATTTAAATCGGGTTTACGCCCCTTATTTAAACACATACGAAACGGCTGTTGATGCACTCGCTGCTGCTGACAAAGCGAATCCACGCCTTCATGCCTACTTAAGAGTATGTTAATCAGTTTAAACCAACCAGAAACTATTTTCAATTCATAATCTCAATTTGATTTGTGTACGGCCCACATCGATGTGTAATCATTTGGGGAAATCAGTCTAATTCATCCTAAATTTCATAGTTTAATATTTCACCAAAAGGAGCCACTACCTTGTTATTTTCCATGTTCTATGACCATATCATGACGAATTATGAATGAAATAGCCACGGAAGTTTGAACATACCGCGGTTCTCCTCATCGGTCTGAGACCTGAAAAGCATAATTTCTTTCGTGAACCTCGGTGTAAAAAATACGCTTCTTCCGCTCGTTCGTCGAAGGAGACTATTTCTTCCAGATGAGGAAATCTATGTATAGGTCGAGATAGAAGGTGTTTCCAACGTTATGTTTATAATATTAAGTTTCTTCTTTGGAACTCCGATCAGCCTTGGGGGAAATTAGGATTGGTGCTCATTTGTAGTTGAACATTTCATTAACTGAAGAATACCGTTCAACGTGTTCGTCTTCAACCTACTTTTCCTCGTCTTTAGGCCATGGAATGTTCGAAGGAATTTAAACGAAACACTTTTAAAGATCTGCTCATACGGCCCGTGCAGCGTATTCCAACGTTGATTGTTCTTCTTAAGGGTGAGTCTATAGTTTTAGCAGT